CTTTAGAACTCCTTTTACCATCTGGATGTCAGCACTGGTGTTTCCCAGATGATTACTGAGTACCTGGAGCTGAGAATTGACATTGTCCACTCTGCACTTCAACATCTGGATCTCTACCACCCAGGCGCTGGAATTCTCCATGTGGCTTTTAAACGTCTGGATAAGCTCTTGCATTTCTGTCTCCCTGCCAAAGTGGTGATGATCTGGAGGGAGGAAGTGAAGAAGGCAGCCAAAGAGACCCATGACATCGGGTAGCACTGTATGGGCCAACCAGAGTGTTTTTAACATTTCCAAGGGAAATGGGGACTGCACAGCCCTCAGTGCTCCCCCGAGCACTGTGCTGGTTACACTGCCACCTAGACCCTGGGGATAGGCCACCTGAGAATGTGGGCCAAGAAACAAAGGTTGAATTCACTGTTACACTCAAATGAAGGGTTCAGAAGGATTGAAATACTTGCCCACTGTAAGCCAGCTGCCACCAGGAGTCATACTGGTTTAAGGCTTGGATTATTTTGCCATTATAATTGCTCAACTTGAAAGTAACTGATTATATCATTTAGAGCTGTTGAAGTTTAATTCCACTGAAATCTCACCATAGATGGGTTGTTATGAGAAAGAAAATAAGTATGAATAGAGCCTGTGGTTAGCCCTACAGTGTACTTACACACCAAGCATAGGGCTTCTTGATTCACCATTGCTACTTCCTAAAAACCACCACAAATATAAGTTTTATGATGACAAATTCCATGGAGAAGAAAACACAAAGAAACAAAACAGAAATAAAACAAAAGAGGTGTGTCAGGAGGAAGTACCCTGTTCAATCCACAGCTATGACAGAGGCATGCCATGCCCTCCAAGTAACTAACGCTGGACCTCAGCTGAAATAGCCTTTTAAAGAGCCAGTACCCCCTGGGTTACATAGAGCAAGGGTCCCCACAGAACAGTTTGAGGACACAGGAAACCTGAGTCAAAGGCCTTGTGTTGGGGACATTGAAAGAGACTCTGCAACCCCTTTAATCTGTGAGGTCTTTCCTAGCAACCCACCTGCATCTACCTCTGGTCCTGATAGCATCCTTCGTTCACCTCACAAACCCAATCTCAAACATCCACGGTCCCCTTCTGATTCCAGTCTCCCACCAGGAAGAGGGAGAAAAACCCAAGTTGGCAGGGACCCTTTCTGGAGCATCCATTCACTATTTCTCATGTGCTGCCTGTGTAGATGTGTGAGGCCTCAGTCACTGTGCTAAGGTAAGACAGGCGACCTTTCCAAGTACAAGAAGTTCAGTCAAAGATTCTGCTTTATAAAGGTAGGCAAATCAATGTGACAGAATAGAGAATCCAAAAGTAGACCCCTATATATATGGACAATTGATTTTCAACAAAGGTGCAAAGGCAATTCATGGAGAAAGATAACCCTTTCAACAAATGGTGTCGGACCAATGGTATATCTATACGCCAAAAATAACTGCAGTCCATATTTGACACCGTTATACAATAATTAACTCAAATGAGGCAGAGAACTAAATGCAAAACTAAAAACTGTAAAATTTCCAGAAACAAAAAAGAACATCTTTGGAGCCTTGGATTAGGCAGATTTCTCACATACAAGACCACGAATAACAGAAATAAAATGATAAATTAGACTTTATCAAAATTAAAATCTTAAGAGAATAAAATGACAAGTCACAGACTGAGAGAAAATATTTGCAAATCACATGATGAGTAAAGAACAAAGAGTACCTACTCTATGACCCCTTTTGTATAAAACTCTAGAAAAAGCAAACTAATCTATAGTTACAGCAAGTAGATCTGTGGCTGCCCAGGAATGAGGGGAGAAATGGAGAGGACGGAATTACAAAGAGCCATAGGGAAACTTTGGGGTGAGGAGGTTGGCTATGTGAAGGTGATGGTGGTGATGGTTTCACAGGCACATACATATGTAAAAACTTATCAGATTGTGTGCTTTAAACAGTGTACACCATTAGACCTCAATAACACTTTTTTTTTAATTATCTCTTTCTATGAGGATGGTGGAACCCATTCAGTGGTCTGGGGATACTGGCGGAGCATCCTAGGGTCTGAGCATCTGAAGGTCCCAGCTCCCTCCTGCACCCCACCCCCACCATAGCTACTCACTGTTGAGTTCAAAAGGTAAATGGTCAGTAATGTTGCCTCCCAGAAGCATGGCTTGCACAGGCTTTGTCACAGGTCTTGTGTGCTGTTGAACTGAGACATCCCATTTTCCCAGGTCAGCAAATCCCCAGCCCTGGGCCTGGGAGAACACGCTCTCCCACACCCAGGAAGGGTTCTAGAACAGGGGAGATAGCAGCAAGACCCCTCCCAGGGTTTCCCTCATGAACCTCCGTTCTTTTTTTTTTTTTTTTTTCTTTTACTAGCCATCCAGTAACAGAACTTCAGCTCTTAGGAGGCTCCACTTGAACGCTGGACTCTATCTGGTCCCAGGAAAGCTGTGGCTTGGGCCTGAAGCTGGAGGTGGAATGATCCTTCTGGGAGCAGAGAGGCCCAGAGAGTGTGCATCTGGGGCCCTTAGGGACTTTATGCTAAAAGCAGAGAGAGTCAGTGAGATTTGGGTCACCTGGGGGCTTACCCATTAAAAAGAGAGTCACAAGAGAGAAGACCAAGGTCACAGCCATGAACACTGGGGTAGCCTGAACGAGCCTCGACATCTTGGGGGCTGCAGGAGTCATTGCCACAGAGTCCACCCCTACAGAGGAGAAGCCAATGTCCAAGGTGAGAGGGCTCTGGGCAGGCTGAGACACAGTCATCCTCATCCTCTCTGATTCAGTTTCCTAGGTTGTATGCTTATCATACAAGTGGTTATGGAGAAGGAAGACGAAGCCCTTTGGGCTGTTCACCACAGCTAGGTGTGGGTATGGAAGCAACACAGAGGCGGGGAGCTCTGAGATCAAGACCACAGCTCTCCAAATCCCAAGGCTTTGGTGGTGCACAGGGCACAGAACCTGACCCAGAGCATGGGGCAGTGAAAGTTCGTTTGAATGAAAGAAGAAAGGAAGGGAGGGAGGGAGGCCTCATAGGACCAGCTCAGTGTGCAGAGCTGGATTCCAAGCCAGGATCACCTGAATTCAAAGTCCATCCCCTTTCTCTTGCCAGGTCAGCATCCCTAGGGACAAGATTCTAGGGAGGTCAATAAGACAGAAATAAGCTGCCTTATGGCAGAGGGTCAAAGGACAGGCAGGCTAATCCCTCACTGGGCATGAGCTGGGGCTGCAGTTTTCTCACCTTGTGGTTGCAGGGAGATACACTGGTTATCTGTGCAGAAGTGGACTGCCTCACCGTCCATCTCTGCTTCCTTGATCCTCCAGCACTGCTCCCAGCCACCGGCTCCTGGAAGGGCTGTCCTGTGGCCCAATGGCAGTAGAAGCAAAGCTGAGACACCCACACTTAATATACTCCTGACAGAGGTCCTGACCACCCTCCGAGCTCTTCCTCCCTCCCCGACTGACTTTGCAGAAACCCGCCCCAGTGGGCCCCTCCCCTAGAGGCTCCCAGACACCCATCTGCCCTATGTTCTTCCTCTTCCTATTAGCATCCTCCCTTCAGCTCTCAGTCCTATCATTTCAGTCTCTGGCAAATCCAGCGTAACCCCAAACACCTGTCTTTTTCTCTGGGGCTAGGGCTGGGACTGGCCACCTAGAAAGGGGTCTCAGCTTTGAGTAGAAAACACCCTTATGACTACGGCTGACCTTTAATTCTAGCTCCAGAACCTCTTAAGTATAAAGAGTCAGGAAAAGGAGGATCCAGGATGGTGCAGCAGGTATTTGCAGGTCAAAGGAGAAGGCAGGATGACCAGCCACTCAGGGCCTCACAACTGAATTACAGTATACAGAAGGATGTGCGGAGATTATATAGAAATACTACACTGGGCCAGGAGCGGTGGCTCATGCCTGGAATCCCAGCACTTTGGAAGGTGAGGCGGGTGGATCACCTGAGGTTAGGAGTTCAAGACCAGCCTGGTAAAGATGGTGAAATCCCATCTCTACTAAAAACACAAAAATTCGTCAGATGTGGTGGTGGGCACCTGTAATCTCGGCTACTTGGGAGGCTGAGGCAGGAGAATTGTTTGAATCCAGGAGGCAGAGGTTGCAGTGAGCTGAGATTGTGCCAGTGCACTCCAGCCTTGGTGACAGAGAGCAAGACCTGGTCAAAAGAAAGAGAGACAGAGAGAAAGAAAGAGAGAGAGAGAAAGAAAGAAAGGAAAGAAGAAAGAGAGAGAGAAAGAAGAAAGAAAAAGAAAAAGAAAGAAAGAGAGAAAGAGAGAGAAAGAAAGAAAGGAAGGAAGGGAGAAAGAAAGAAAGGAAGGAAGGAAGGAAAGAAAGAAACAAGGAAAGAAAGAGAGAAAAGAAAAGAAAGGAAGAGTCTACCTGGAACTAAAGGCAAACCAGAGGGAGCCAGAGCCAGGAAAGGGAGACAGGCGGCTTCTTTTATTTTTTAGTAGGGACAGTTTCTTGGCATGATGTGAGCGCCTATATTCAGCAGTACAAAGTGTCCTGATTTTACATCCCACAAAATACAACAACAACAATTCATCACCTCCTAACAACAACCACCTCCTAACTGCTCTCCCTGCCTCTCCTCTTACCCTGTCACCATGTTGCAGGCATAATAATCTTTTTTTAAAAAAGGTGTACACACAAATATTACTTAGCTGGAAGAGGCAATGACATTCTAATAGCAACAGCCACATGCAGAACCCAGGTTTTGGTTTCTAACACCATTGCCCAAAAAAAGGAAATCGGGGCTCCTTGGAGAAATGGCTGACTCTAGAACTGGGCCGGGAAATATACAAGATGAGCCTAGAGCATCTTGTAGTACCAGAAAGTAAGGAGATGTTTTGTTACCAAAAAAAAAAGTGATGGAGGTATGTCAAAATGACACAGGGACTTATGAAGGAGCTCCCAATGGCCAAAGCCAGAGTAATTTGAGCAAAAAAAAAAAAAAAAAAAAAAAAAAAAAAAAAAAACAAATAAAGTAGCTTTGGATTATAATCCAAAGTGTAAGAGAAATATCTGTGAATCCATACTCATATAAATGAATGCCTGAATAAGTAAACAAATAGATAAATCTCTAGTGCAGAAAATGTCCAAATATTTTCTGTAAATATTCCATTCTGAGAAAGATAGAATGTAACTTCCTACTCTCTAAGTGTGAGCTGCATATAGTGACTTCCTTCCAAAAGTTCAGTAAGGGAAAAGGGAGAAAAGAGTAACTCAGGAGTCCATGAACTTGGCAAACACTACCCCAGCCTGGAGATCAAGGTCAACACCAACAGTAAAGAATTATATTGATAGTATGTACCCTTGATAGGATATGATGAGAATGGCCCTTTATCTCCAAGATCTTCCTCCTGAAATTCAGTACCCCAGTCTAATCATGAGAAAAACATCAGGCAAATTCCACTTAAGGGGCAATCTACAAAGTACCTGACAAGTGCTCCTCAAAACTGTCAAGGTCATCAAAAACAAGGAAAGTCTGAGAAAATGTCACAGTCAAGAGGATCCCAAGGAGACATGAAGACCTAATATAATGTGGGATTCTGGATGGGATCCTAGGAAAGAAAAAGGATGTTAGGGGAAAACCAAGGAAATCTGAATAAAGTACGGACTTCAGTTAAATATTGGTTCATTAATTGTGACAAATGTACCATACTAATATAAGAAGCTAACAATAGGAAAAATGAGGAAGGGTGTGTATATAGAAACTCTCTGTATTATCATCACAATTTTTCTGTAAAGCTAAAACTATTCTATAGCATAAAGTTTTTTTTTTAATTTTTTTGAGATAAGGTCTCACTCTATTGCTCAGGCTGGAATACAGTGACATGATCACAGCTCACTGCAGCCTTGACCTCCCGGGTTTAAGCAGTTCTTACACCTCAGCCTCTTGAGTTGCTGGGACTACAGGCACACACCACCACACACGGCTAAGTTTTGCATTTTTTTGGTAGAGACAGGGTCTCCCTATGTTGCCCGGGCTGGCCTCAAACTCCTGGGATCAAGTGATTCTCCTGCCTCAGCCTCCCAAAGTGCTGAGACTACAGGCATGAGCCACTGAGCCCAGCCTAAAAAGGTATTTTTTAAAAGATATTAGAGATGGCTGGGTATGGCAACTCACACCTGTAATCCCAGCACTTTGGAAGCTGAGGCAGGAGGATCACCTGAGCTCAGGAGGTCAAGACCAGCCTGGGCAACATAGTAAGACCTCATCTCTACTAAAAATAAAAATTAAAAAAAAATAGCTGTCCATGGTGGCATGCACCTGAGGTTCCAGGTACTCAGGAGGCTGAGGTGGGAGGACTGCTTGAACCCAGGAGCTCAAGGCTGCAGTGAGCTATGATTGTGCCACTGCACTCCAACCTGGGTGACAGGGGCAGGTTGGAGTCTCAGAAAAATCAAAATTTTAAAAAGACATAAGGTAATAATTATAGACTCTTAGAAGACAAGACTCAAGCTTTAGAGTCTATGCTAGCAAGAGGAATGCTCCAAGAACACTGATCTGCTTCTGGGAATGGCAGCACTAAATGTAATCTGAGCTCTGAACAACTACCAGGACAAATCAAAGGTCTCACATGGTTGAATCCGACTGGTGGTCCCTGGGTCACATGACTGCACTTTAAAAAAAAAAAAAAAAAAAAAAAAAACAGAGTCTTGCTCTATCGCCCAGGCTAGAGTGCAGTGTTGTGATCATGGCTCACTGCAGCCCCAGCCTCTTGAGCCCTAGCAATCCTCCCACCTCAGCCTCCTGAGTAGCTAGGACTACAAGTCTGCACTACCACACCCAGCTAATTTTCTTGTATTTTTTGTGGAGACGGGGTCCTACTGGGTTGACCAAGCTGGTCTTCAACTCCTGGCCTTTAGCGATCCTCCTGTCCTGGCCTCCTGAAGGGCCTCCCAAAGCACCTAGCCTCACACCTGCACTTTTCTGCAAGGAAAGCTATAGATGCCAGTTCTGCTTCTAACTTGAGAAGGTGAGTTCAAAATACAGGAAGATACCTAAAACAAGAAGCTGCTCAGTGCGAAGGAAGAACCACAAAAGTGTGACAAATGTTTTCCAGTGGCGTCACTCTGTTGCATGTCTGTAGATCTTGTTATTCCTGGAAGCATTTAAAGCTTTCAAATGTAATAAATCATTTGTCATGCTTCTTCAACACTAAGTAAAAAACAGAACAATTGGGATTGTGTCACTCATCTGCCTAAAACACTTCAGTGATTTCTCCTTGTCCTTCAAACAAAATCCAAAACTCCTCCCGTGGCTTTGAAGGCCCCCCGAGAGCTGCCTGCCCGCTGCTTCACCTCACACCACACTCCAGCTAGACTGGACTTCTCTCGGTGCCTCAGGCTGCCATACTCTTCCTCTGCATTTCCTGTTTCCTCTCTCTTTCCTCGTCTGTGCCCCAATCCACTCACCGCCTAAACTCTGCTCATCTTTCCAGGCTCAGCTGATGTGACTCTTCCTCAGGAAGCCTTAGGAAATCCTTTTGTTTAGGCTCCCAGAGAACAATTAAAATTTCCTATTTGAAAACACACTGAGTTTATCATAAGTTGGGTAACCTGTGTTTTTTCTCCCAAAAAACAGAGGTTCATTCTGAGACCTAAAAAAAAGGAAGTTGCCTTGGGAGAGATAGGAAGGGAGGCTCCTGGAGATCTGGGGTGGGAACAGAGAGATAGAAAGAAAGGAGGGCCTGAAACCTCTGATGGGGGCAACGCACTGCCCTGATGGAGGCTACCTGGAGCCCTGGCCAGGTGGGGTTGCCAAGGTAGCCAAGGCAGCCCCCCACACCCAGGGCCCAGCCCCAACCAGGGCAACAATGCCAAGAATAATGCCCATAATCCCAGAAGCCAGGGTGCTTTGTAAGAGAAAGGGAAAGTGTGGTGGGCGTGGTGGTTTACACCTGTCATCCCAGCACTTTGGGAGGCCGAGGCAGGCGGATCACCTGTGGTCAGGAGTTCCAGACCAGCCTGACCAACATGGAGAAACCCTGTGTCTACTAAAAATACAAAATTAGTCAAGCTTGATGGTGCGTGCCTGTAACCCCAGCTACTTGGGAGGCTGAGGCAAGAGAATCACTTGAACCTGAGAGGTGAAGGTTACAGTGAGCCAAGATCATGCCATTGCACTCCAGCCTATGCAACAAAAGTGAAACTCCATCCCCCCACCAAAAAAAGGAAAAGGGAAAGTGCTAGACAACTAGACAACTACACACACATACACACCCCACCCAAATAATGGTTTATCTTCCAAAGCACTGGGAAAATTAAAACAAAGAAAGCACGGCTCATATAATATGAGAAAAAGAGAAGAGAGAGAAAGAGAAAGTGAGAAAGAAGGACAAAGAAAGAGAGAATGAAGTGATAGATAGATAGATCAATAAAGCCTAAAAACAGAAAAAGAAAATATTGTAGTACATGTTCACAAGCATTAGGACTAGTTGGTCAGTAGGGGTGAGTCAATTATTTTTTTTCTTCTTTTATATTCAAACACAAAAGGATAAATTTTTCAAGAGTATTTTATTGCAACATAGAAAGAGGGCAAGTCAAGCATTGTTAGCCTGCCAAATCAGAAAAAAAAAAAAAAAAAAAAAAACTGGCCAGTGTGGTGGCTCACACCTGTAATCCCAGCACTTTGGGAGGCCAAGGTGGGTGGATCACCTGAGGTCAGGAGTTCAAGACCTACCTGGCCAACATGGAGGAACCCCGTCTCTACTAAAAATACAAAAATTAGCAGGGCATGGTGGCAGGTGCCTGTAGTCCCAGCTACTCAGGAAACTGAGACAGGAGAATTGCTTGAACCCAGGAGGCAGAGGTTGCAGTGAGCTGAGATCGCACCACTGCACTCCAGTGTGGGCAACAGAGCAAGACTCCTTCTCAAAAAAAAGAAAAAAAGGAAAAAAAAAAAAAAACTAATGTGATAAAATAAATACTCAAGTTGACTGAGAAAAAGTTCTCACCTGTCCCTGGCTCCCAACTTTTCACCTGACAATGGAAAAATCCCCAGAATTTCACAAGAAATACTGTGGGGTCCGTGACCCGAGGAGCTGCCCAGGTATCAATAATGCTTGAGACCTGCTTGAGAGAGGACTAGAGCACTATCAATGGTGGGGCTTCCTGGGCGAGACTGCACTGCCAGCAGAAGTGCAGGTGCCCATGTAGCAACCTCCCTGGAGAAGCAAGACACGCATACAGTGGGGTAGGGAGCCAAGGGCACATGACAAAGCAAAGCAACAGGTGTCCAGCTTCCTCAAAGGAGGAAGCTAAGTCAATGCTGCACTTGCCTGATACAGGCTGGGGCACAGACTCCAGATAAAGACACATCCTCACTGACTCAGGCTCTTTCAGTTTCTAGAGAAAGCAATGGGTGGGGTCAGGGGCACAGGTCTTGTAAGATCTCCATGCACAGAACCCAGGAGGATCAGGACTGGGAGGATCTGAGGCAGCACTGGGAACGTGAGCAGCCAGAGCCCCTCAGCCTTCCCTCCAGGACCCCCATTACTACTCCTCTGAGTTGTTCTCTTTTCTCTGTCAGCTAAATCTTCTGTAGTCAATTCTCTTTTTTTGAGATGGAATCTCGCTCTATCAGCCGGCTGGAATGCAATGGTGCGATCTTGGCTCACTGCAACCTTTGCCTCCCAGGTTAAAGAGATTCTTCTCCCTCGGCCTCTCAAGTAGCTAGAATAACAGGCACCCACCACCACGCCCAGCTAATTTTTGTATTTTTAGTAGAGACAGGGGTTTCATCATGTCAGCAAGGCTGGTCCCAAACTCCTGGCCTTAGGTGATCCACCCACCTTGGCCTCCCAAAGTGCTGGGATTGCAGGCATGAGCCACTGCGCCCGACCTAATTCACATCTTTCCTCGGCCTGTTAGCTCCTGCTCATTGCTAGTTTCTTCCAGTGCCCCATGACGGCCCCTCCAGCCTTTCTCTAACTCAGGGCCTTCCAGCTCAACTTCCTTCTGTTAACAGCCTCATCCCCTTTTTATTTCCTGGTCCAAATTCTTTCCCAGAGAAATGATCTGATTTTCCCAGCTCATCGCTTGGCCAAAACCAACCAGAGATCCCTGGCCAGCCTTGTTCTTGTCACCCCCCAGTTCCTCCACTGGCTAGGGAGAGATCCCCTGTTCTAAATAGGACAAGATGGCCAAAAACACGCATTTGACACTGGGCAGATGAGATTGACAGCAGTTTAGTAGTCAAAATAGAGTCCGGTGAGGAAAGATATCACAAGCCACGCAGGGCCACACGGGGTCACCCTCAGGAGCAGAGTGAACCAATAGGGCTGTGGGAGGCAGCCTTGCGGTAACAAAAGCATGAGGTACCCCAGGTTCCTGTGAGAGGATGTGATTGGCTTGTTTGAATAGCTTCCCAGGCTGGCAGAGAAATGAAACCTATTAAGTAGAAAACTGAGTGGAGTGCAGCTGGTCCAGATGGTAGGGAACTAGCCAGCTAGGGAGCCAGGGCAAGGGCACATCGGGTAAGAGGCAGGAACTCAGAGTTAGGTCTTTGGGGCTCTGTGAGGCTCAAAGATGTCACAGCAGCAGAGCAATTGGAAGTTCTAAATCCTCTCCATCCACCCCTCCCACTTTAACCTGAATCCTCCTTTCCATTCCAGCTGCCTCCATGGGGTCGGAAAATTTCCAGCCAGGACCAACGGACTCCAGAATGCCACTGTGGGACGATTTTGAAGCAAGAAAAATTAAGGTGCAAAGTCATCCTGGAGTCTGGGGAAGAAAGAGGCATTTCCTCATGTTTGACAAGCACTGGAACTCCAAGAGTGAGCTTGGGAGCCTGTCCTGTCATGGTTCTGACGGGATGTAGGGTTGCTTACAGATGAAAAGAAATGTTTTGTCACATGGGGCATCATTCCAGGACTGAAGCGAGGATGCCTTTAAATTGGCACAGTGTTCATTGTTTCCGTAATTGTTCGGCTCACCTGGAATCCAGAACCTACCAAGTGGTGGAAAAAAAGAAGGATTTACAAAGTTGGAAAACCAAGAAGAACTTATTTCCAGTGAAGAAATGAGTTAACTCAATCCCAGGTTTAGTCCTAGGGAATGGCAGCAAATGTCTGCACCCGAGCCCAAGAGGAAGGGGACCGGTGAGACTTCAAACTCTAAGCTTTCGGTCACGCCCCAAGTCCAGGCCAAACCAACCCACCACTCTCAAGTCCCTATACAAATCCACAATGTGAAGACCTAGACTCATGACACAATCCCTGCTGAAGCTGGCCAGGCAGAAGGCCTTGCTGCCAAACCCCAGAGGGTGTGGAGGGCCCAGGTCCCACAGCCAGTTAGTGACAGGGTTGCACTAGATCTTGGTTCCAATGCTCCTGTCACCCTAGGACAGAGAAGAATCAGAAACCCTGTCTCATGGGGAGCATCACCTCCACTCCCTTCTTTCCCAGGCCATGGCCGGGGAAACTCAGGCTGGCAGGGAGGGGTCCAGAGCCTTACCTCTCACTTTGGACCTTGTTGAATGGCGTGTCATCCACCCAGTACCACTCCCCTTCCATTCCTGCTTTAGTCAGGCCAATCCAGTAGATGCGTCCCCCTGCTGTCTTATACAGAAACTCCTGTAGGAAAGACAGGATAAGCAGAGGTGTGGCCACACTTGGAGCTTGATCATCTGTCTCTGGGTTTCGTCACCTGTGCTCAGTGACAGCCCTGACCCACAGATGTGCTGCACACACTGGCCTCTCTCAAGCCTCTTCTTGCCCTGCCCAGGGCTCAGATTTCATCTTCCAGATTATTATATTTCCCTGCCCTGCAGCTAACAAGCTCAGGACCCAAGCCTTTCTGCCACTGAGGAAGCAGGTGCTGAAGCACAAGAAGGCCTCAGTTGAACTCCAGAGCATGGACCCCAAGAGAATGGTTCAGATGATAACACCTGAATTTAGCAAGCTCTGAGTCCACATAAGGCACTGTGCTGAGTCCTCCGTATGCATTCACTCCTTTCCTCCCTGAGGCAGGTGCCAGCACCATGCATGTTTCATCAAATGAGGGCCAGTGAAGTTTGCCCAGTGAAGTTGCGTATTCCACCCAAGCTGCTAGGACTGGTTAGATGGCAAGGTTAGGGCTCTAGAACTACTCCAGAGCCCAGGCTCTGACCTGCTCTGCTATCCCACTGCACAGATGAAAAGGGCCCATGCAATTTCTGCCTCACCAGGCAGGAGACTTCTTGAGTCATGCAGATTCATTAATGCTGTTCACGAATATCTCTTTTTTTCTGGGCACGTGGAAAGTAGCACCTCTGCCTTCTTTGAATCCAGGAGTACTGCATAACTTACTTTTGGCCAGTGAGAATAAGTAAAAATGAGGTATGTTAAATTTGGGCAGAAGTGTTGCACAATACATCAAGTTCCCTTTTCCTGCCCCAGCAATTGTGGAAACATGTTAAGATGAAGTCTCCATCGGCCTGGGTCCTTGAGTAGCCACAGTGAGCAGAACCCCCTTGCCAGTCCTTATTGGACATGGTATATGAGAAATAATGCTTCTTCATTAGGTCATCAATATTTGGGGATTTTTATTAGCCCAGCATAATCTTGTCCATCCTCCCCGGCCCGATGCTTATATGCCCCCTTCCCAGATCCCATAGGCACAGCACTCACCTGCTCACTCTCTGAGGTCACCGAGGTCAGGTGTGAATTCCTGGACATACAGAATTGCTGGGCGCTATACCAGGTCTTTGAGATGCGAGAAAAGTAATAGAAGTTCCCCCCGAAGAAATTCCAGCCTTGAGAAACCACCTGTAGAATGTCATCTAGAGAACAAGAGCTAAAAGTGAACGCTGGTGTTTTTGTTTTCTTGGGGTGCTGGCTTGGTGGGGGTGATTGAATGATGTCTCAGAGATAGCAGCAAATGGAGCTGTGCTCTGGTGTCCTTGGGTCCTTGTGTAGGGGACTGGGGACACTCTTTCAAATCCTGAAAGTCAGACGGA